CACCTAGTGTGTATTCTTTCTATTTTCGCGCAGATTTCTTCAAGGTCACAATTCTAACAAATTGAAATGGACTGTATATTTCTAATTTTTTAGTCGTCATGCATAGTTATGAGTATATATGTATGAAATGTATACAATTCCTAGGAAGTTCCGAGGCTATTTAAGAAATGTTGTTTCAAATATTTTTTACTACATACATATCCTGGGAAATGTATGAATTTCCGATATTATACTAGGAAATGTATAAAACTAATGCCTTCTGTGAATAAAATATCCTAACATGTCAGCCCGTTTCCGACTTCAAACTGTCATAAATAAATGATAATGAAGCATAATCATCGAACGTTGAAAAACAATATTTGGTGGCCTAGGACATAAAATAGGCAATGCCCTATTATTGCCTATTTTATGTACTAGGCTGTTTGGAGATTTAACTATATACATTGGTGACGCTATTGTTTGGTTAGGTAGATTTATGATTGATTTGAGTTCATTCGATGCCCCTGCCCGCTGGAGGCGGACTGATGTGTTAAAGTATTTTAGTCACAGAAAGCATTATTTTTATACATTTCCTAGTACAATATTGAAATTTCATACAATTCATAGCAACTACCAAGTACAACTATCATTACCTATACGTAGTAGTAAAGGGTGTATAAGTATGATGCAATTAGTCATTACATACGTTATACGTTGGGAGAGACGGTATAGAGAACTTTCACACTGAAGTTAGGTATCATATAAGCCGGCACTGTTGAAGTATGAGGCTGTTATAATGCCCGACCGCACTTCATAAACTTGCTGAACTTTTCATGAACTAGCAGATTTCGGCGAACTTATGCAGACAAAGGTATCTACTGTACATATATTACCCACTGCCAACAAATATACCCATGATATGATATAACTTCTAAGGGTCGGGAAAACGATTTAGATAATAACCCAACTAATTGAAACTGAAAGTTTGCTGGCGCAGCGTATTTGGAAAACTACACAAAAAGTAAAAGTTCAGCGCTTTAATTTCACTAAATGCCTCTAATAATCTTATTAAGTACATTACAGCCAGTACTATGTAAATCTATGAACATAAAAGAAAGAAAAAATGGAAATTACTCAAACATTAGTCGAGCATCATCTAAATAATTGTAATTTTATTAAGGCAAATTTCCGCACTACCGTTGAAGTATTGCCAAGGCGCAATAGATTTCTTTGCCTGTGGTTGTTAGTAAACTTACCGAAAAAGGCCAAAGAAGTATCCAAAAGCTTCGCACCATATATATACCGAAAATAGTTCTTGAAAGATGCTGGTAATCACTAACTGATTGAGTACGACGTTGCGGGCCGTATTTCTCTACCAGGGTCCGCATTTAATTTACTTGTACCTTTCTCGAAAACGAAGAATTTTCGGACATACAAACGTTTATTAAATTTTCATGTTTTTTATACTTATTTCTGATGTTACACCTTTTAGAATGTAGATCGGGAGGAGTGCCTGCCATGGGCATTAATCGTAGGAACAGTGGGAATAAAACAAGCAGTTTCTACTTTCAGGAAATCGCAATTTTAAAAGTCTTTAGTTTACCGTCTGCCTATGGAAACTTACTTACTTACATTTATCAAATCAGTTAAAATTACGTAAGAAGGTTAAGGTAGAATCATGCATTCAGTGTTTTTTGTCGCAAAATTAATTTGTATCAGATTTTGCAGTGCTGCATGGCAGTTCCCACATTCTTTGGGAAAGGAATATTTTTTTATATTTTCTTTGTCCTTTAAAGCTTGATGTCTTTCTGCGAACTACTTTTATCTTACAATAGTTTCACTGATTTTGAACCATATGTGTCTACGAATGTGATAGGAAAGTTGACAGAACTTTTTATTACTTACGTATGCCGCACTTCGTGTTCTAACTCTTTATAGTCACAGTTACTGCGAAAATCCTTGAATCCTTGAAAGAATTGCAGTAATAACAAGGGTAATAGCCAACGTATATTCTTACTTGCGGGCTGGAAAAACTGATAATCTTTTACAACGATTAAAGAAGTTGTCCCTGACCTTTCTGAACGGGTGAAATAAAAATTAGAAATAGTAAAAGTGCTACAGAATAAAATATCTTAATAGAGGAAAATTATTTTGATAAGTATTGCAGATGAAACTTACATCATGGTAACTGGTTCGCCATATTGTGGCGCTTTCAGAAATGGCAGATTAATATAATTGGAATACTAATACCAATAACTTATGTATATTATAATACGTATGCAAATTGATTATTGATTAAAGTGAGTTAAAGTGAGGGTGAGGGGCTACTAGTAGATTTATAAGTGAGCCATCTCTACATGCCCACTATTCTTCCTTTTTGAACTAAATTTTAAATAAATCTAATTTGAAAAACTTATTTCCTCAAACACTGCATCAGACAGGAGCTTTAGAGCTTTTCCAAATATCATTAAATTTAATAACACAACTCACAAAAAGGAAAAATAATGGGGATAAAAGGATAACTCACAGACGAATGGAAAATACAAACGTTTATTTCAAAAGGTTCCCATTAATCAATCTGTATTTAACCCTGCACCCTCACTGTATATAGTTTAATTTTGCCGTTTTTGGATTATAAAGTCAAAATTGTAAATCTTCTACTTTATTATTTATTACTGGCACAATAAATCAACTAGCTCCTATACCTACCAAGAGAAAAACACAATATTCTTATCTTTCTTGGCGAATCGGAGGTAAATATAATTGCAAGTACTTTATAAAGTTTGTATCTCAACTACGTATATAAGTTTGTCTCACTTTTATGTTACTCCTTCTGCATGTATCTTATAAACTGTAGCACGTTCATAAGTTTTTATTCGGTTAGTTTAAGACTTAAACAGGAAACTGGATGTCCAGATCTTGAAGTGCAATAATATTTTTCCGTTTAGACAAACGAGCCTATATTACAGTACAAAAATCATGCATTTAGTGTAAAACAAACAGTTGTCAGTTATTTCTATATATTCATGTTCAGATAGGGGATTTAGATCTGCTGTGTCGCACCAAGAAGGTAGTAGAGGTGAGGGGGGAGTAAAAGTATACTTTTGTTTCTGAAAATTTTCATCATTACTAAACTTTTTCCTCCCCGGAGGATTTGCTGTGGTTTAATTCAATTCAAATTTTTCAAGAAACTGGAACTTTATGAGCTAATTGTTTTGCTTCATTTGGTTTATCAATAAAGAAACGAACAGATAGACACACGAACGATCCTATAAGGGTTCCGTTTTTCATTCGGACTTATGGAACCCTAACCCCAGAACCAATTTGACATTTTTTTTGAAATGTTCACCCATACATTCAACCTGCATTATTGTTTTATTGAATCATTTACCACATATGTAATGTTCAGACCATAGACTTTTTATTAATTTTCCTGTAATAGATAAGTGAAGAACCGTTTTCTGCATTTTTGTTTTAACTTTAGGTTCAGTAGTTTCGAAGATAATAGCAGGGATAGTCAATTTTCATTTATTTTCTTAAATAACTTTAAAACTATTTGTTCTAAAATTATAAAAAAAATATATTTGAAATCCTTACAACAAGCCCTTTCATTTGATATGTCACACGGTACAATGAGTACAAATTACAGAAGAAATACAACACGGATGACTGAGGCAGTTAATTGAACACGACGTTGCGTTGTCGCATTTCGTTCCAGGGTCGGAACATTTGCCTGTACTTACAACTACGTTTTTCTCGAAAACGGTAAATTTTCGGACATACAAACATTTACTTAATTTTCCTGTTTTATTGTGCTTTATCGAATCCTGCAAGGTTGTCTACTTATTTCAGAAACACCCTGTGTATGTATCCGTTTCACGAACCGGACAAAAAAATTGTCTAGATAGTGAAATAAAATATTGTTACACTATCTGGCTCCACTTCATGAACTGGACATCCAGAACATCAATCAATTGGACCATAATTACGCCAAGTGGGTGCGACGCCTACATACATACACAAGTAGTAACTATTTCAATTAGGCTTGAGCTAATCTATTAGGTACTCGTGCAGAATGAAGAAGCTACAAAGTCGATAAATAATATTTTTTAGTGAGTAAAAAAATTGGGCTGTCGTGGGACGCTTTGCGAATGTAAAACATTGAAACTATTTGGTTGGGAAAAAAAAAGAATAGGCATTAAGGGATGGTTTATTAAAAGCTATAAATAAATATGACATTACTAAAAAACAAAATATTGATTTCTTTAAAAGAAATAAATTATTCTTTATTTAAAATAATTTTGCTAGATTACTTTCACTCTCATGTCGCGTCGCCACGCGAATAGCCAGTTTGGCCCGTTACAAAGGATTAATTAATAAATTATTAACAGCAGCACTTTGATTTTATGTTTAAAGGCTTTGAATAAAAGAAACCCGTAGAATGTTTATTAAACTAATTAGTATCATCGATGGTTAGAGATTCCTTAAATTTTATAGCAAGTTTTTGTCTATTACTCTTATACTACTAGCATTATTCCTTGAAACTTGTGACAATATTACATTCAACCTGGAAATTAATCGTTTAGATAAAGAAACAATATATTATTTTTGTTTTTATTTTTTTCTACTTATTTATCCCCTTTAGCATAGGTCATAAGTACTCCGCACTGTGGGATGAATAGATCTTAAAATAAATTAATAAACTGATGGATTTAATTTATGAGTCTTGTTCCGAATGCCTGTACACTTTAATAGAGATTATTTCAACCTGTGCATTCTTTCTCGGTTTTCCTTGTCTAAGTGCTCATTTTCCTACATTTGTAAATATGGTTAATGAATTACTTATGACGTCTTAAGTATAAAACGTTACTGTATTTTAGAGTGGAATAAAAATTTCCGGGTTTTGTGCAAGACGATTCGCTTGTTCGACATGAGCAAATTCGAGGCGCAAGTCCGGGAGTATGCCGTTGAGAGAATGGTTACGAGCGTGGTTTGTTCAGTACTGCGCTGAACCGTGCGAGGTCGCGACGTATTTTTAAAGCCCAATTTTTTTCTTACGACGCCGTTGACGCCTCCTATATTGCTGTGATTTGTGACGGGAGTTGTAATAAGCTTGACACGGAACTGGGGTGGAACTCGTTGCATTGAACAAGTTAATTTTGGGCTATGGCATCCTTGGGCAGTAAACTTTTACCATCCACAAAACTTCTTGATGGTGCAATATAACCAGATTTGTTCAAAATGTACTTCATCATCTTCCTCTTATTTATATTTATACCACATTCCTATACATCGTGTACTGTAATAATTCTTACTTTTGAAAGAGAAGTCACCACTTCGTACAATATTTCGGTGTTTTCTGCAGAAATATGAAATATAAAAGTTCATAATTTAGTATTAATAAGTTTAAATTTTTCTTAATCTCATTGATTAAATATGAGACTTTTGTTCAATATATCAATTTTTAACGTGCCATCACTCAACAAAATCAGAATTTAAAATGATTGAATTATGTAATAGGCTTATCCGATTTGATTAGTGCATTTATTAGCACCATAGCAGTTTTTTCTGGCAGATTCGGTGACTAACTTGTACCGTGTAATTCAATCGAATATTCATTTATTATTTTATCCAGTTACACTGCAGTAGGTATTTGAGTTACCGCTCCAGTTCATTTAGATAGGGTTGTTTAACAATGAAAAATTGGCCAACAATTAATTTCAAATCGATCTAACCGAACGACTGGACGAAAAAATTGTATTGTGCAATTTAAATTGGGTTTTGCGGAATTGTAATTTACTTTAGCTTCATTTTTTACTGACACACTACCGAAATAATGAAAATTACAAAAAGTACCTAATCGAAAAGAAGTTATTATTAGGAGGGAATGAATTTTAATCAATATAATTCTCCTGATGTATATTTTTACTACATCAGTTGCATATTCTTCTTCTGTCTATAAATATTTATCTTTCAATTCAAAGAAACAAATTTAATTCCAGAAATTCGTATCTCTATTTATTTTATTTTTAAGGCAATTAATTACAGTTGCTTCGTTTGTAGAAAGTACGGGGTAATTTTTCTTTTCACTCTCTCATTTCTTTTAATAAACCTAATGCGCCTTCTTTTATCTTCTCTCTTTCTTACTCTCAGTTAAACAACTGACATTTGCTTTTTATTTCTTTTTAATTCTTCTTGTTTGCTACAGCTGAATCTTGTCTACTGCGTATATTGTACGTGTGTGGAATTTGATGAAGTACCTTCCAAATATAATCAACTAAAACCCAGTAAATCGAACATCAACAGTACTTTTGTAATAAACTCATTTGTGGTGTGCAATCCAAATGATTTTTATTTTGTGATCCTTGCAGTACTTAGATGCAAGTGCAACGTATTGATGTATAAGTGATACTACGAAAATGATTTCCAATGTTGTCTATTGAGTAAGTTTCTTTATTAATATTTCTTTTTTACATGCGCAAATTAGTTATGATGACAAGACAAATACTAAAAATATAGTATAAAGGTGCGTTTCGGAGCTTTCTCTTTACCCGTTTTTATAATGGAACTACAGTAAAACCTCGATATGATAAAGACCAAGGGAAACGTAAAATAGTTTGAGTCATTGAGGTTTTTACTTACTAAGGGTTTAAGTTTAAACTTTAAAATTATGAATTTCCAGTGACTTAGGAAACTCTTCAGCTTTTTCCTTTCCACTTTTCCACTCACTAAAGTTTTCACATATTTCTACACTGAGTATACCATGTAAATAACAAGCATTTTTCTAAATTAGGAAATTCAGTAATTCTTTGTCTTTTACATAGATGACTTACTCTCGATTCAAACCACTTTTCACTGCTTACTGAGGTGCAATGCCCAAATTATTCGTTTAAGTTATAGAGGGTTTTTATTTTAAGTAATAGAGGTTTTGGACTCTGAGAGGAAGGGAACACAAAATTTTATGAATATATAGAGGTTATTACGTTATCGAAGTTTAAGTTATCAAGGATCTACTGTATTTTAATAAGAAATAGGTGAAATAGGTTGGTAGGAAATCTTCTCAGACATGAATGTCTAGTGAGAGACATATTAGAGACAGAAACGGGAGTTATGAGGAGTAAAGGTAGACCTAGATTAGATTACTGTTGACAAATAGTTAAGTATGTAGGATGTTCTAATTTTAGGGAAATGCGAAGATTAGCTCAGGATAGTAAGGAGTGGAGTTGCTTGTCTAACCTGTCTTAAGATTGACGAACTTATGATGATGATAATTTCAGTTTCGAATCTCTCACTCGAGGATGTTCTGAAAAGTCAGTGTTACACAAGTGTAAGAGGGCGAAAATGATAAATGCTTGCACTTTTAATACGTAAATAAGTAAATAGAAATGAACTGTATCTTTCTTATATAAGTGATTTAATATACATCAAAATTATCAACTAACAGGTGTCAGGATCGTCAGATCCATGTCCATGGCTGGGTCTAACCTATAAATAAAGAAAAAACAAGTGTGAGCGCTCGTGTCCCTCTCAACAAACGTATGTGTGTGAGTTGATAATTCGTGTTCTATTGGCATCATCGTCATTTTATTACTAAATACATCAGTTACTGAAGAATGATACTGAGACGTGCAATGGACATAAAGGGCAGACTCGCATTATGTCCGCTCCAGTATCACCCTTAGACGCAAAGGACTGTAACTCGCAATGTGCCTGTATTACTTATTCACATAACCACTAGTACTAAGATGTGCAATGAGCACAAAGGGCTGAACTCGCAATGTGCTCTCTTCAGATACTAGTGTTTAACCAATAACCTGGCATGATCGGTACTGAGGGGTGCAATGGTCACAAAGGGCAAACTCGCAGTGTGACCTCTCCAGCTACCTTAATGAGAAAACTATCACAAAGGGCGAACTCGCATTGTGATTTTCTCCAAGTGACTACACCAAAGCCACATCCTTACGAATTATCAACATCGAGTAATTATTTATCAATAAATAATATTATTCATGCAAAATGTTCATTTATCAAGTGATTCAAAAGGTAGACAAATATAACAGGCAGAACGCTCAGTGAATAAACTCACCCTTTTATAACAACAACAACAACACAACACTGCACACATTTACTGTCTTTAATATACTGCCCTGATTAAGTTTAAGACACAGGGAACGGGATAGTTAAAACTATATGGTATATGTATGTATTTACAAGACATTCCCATAGCTACATAGGTAATCTAGGGACGGAGCGAGCTCATGAGAAGTATTATTCTAGTCTAAACAAATGAGTCCTTGAAATATTTCTGAACATACTGCCTTTGGTTGGCTTTTATTTTAGGGTGTATTTGAAATATTATATATTGAAATAATCTGAGTTCTTACACAAGTGACTATTTTTTTAATATGGAAGATGAAAATATAGTGCATTAAGAAATATGAAGATTGGAAAAACTTACTTATTTTTAATCCACTAGGTTCTCGCCGATTGTGAAGCGATTTTAATGATTCATTTTTATTGGACAAGTCATATTTTAAGGATTTGAACAAAATATTTAACTTGCAAGGATGAAAAAATTGAGGAAAATCTAATCATTCTACTGAGATGTCCAAACAACCTTAGCTGGTTATGCTCTATAATGTTTTGTACTAAAGAAATTTTTTCTGTTTAATTTTGTGTTTATTTTAGATACTTCATTTCTATTGCTTGTTATTTGTTTTGTTAGATTATTAATACCCATGTTTCCGAACCGAACGTAGATATAGGTCAATATATTGATTTAACCTTCAACTAAGATGATGACTGTTATATAGATACAGACCAACATGATTATTTTTTTTAGTTAATTTCATATATAAATACAAAAAAATACGTAATTTGTACCAAAAAGTTTTTATTTGTATCAAAATAAAAGAACCACAACTTTTTCATATTTTTTTAATTGATACTCATTCCGTCTTTGTTGAACTTGCCAAAATCTTAATACCCAAAGAAACTAAACTAACAGCTAGTTAAACTAATGATGAAAACAAATATATAATTACTTTAAGAACAAAAATAATTACAAAAATATTAAAAAATAAAAATGTATTTGTGGTCAAAAGTGTTACACTAACAACACAGTGGTGCAAAACTTACCCCAAAGGCTAATAACCCGAAAACAATCCAACTCACTATGTTAGTTAAGGGTTAAAAACGGCCGGCTTTGTTTTCTTGGACACTTCTCTTTTCCTAATAAAGTTTTTATTTAGGGCACGAAATGCTTTTGCAGTTGTTTCTGTTTATTCGCGGATCTCTGCTTCTAGCTTTCCTTCTTCTTTAAGTGCACAACCTGGGCATTTAAATTCCCTGACCTGTTCTAAAAGTGTTGATCCGTCTATTTTAATTTCCGGATTCTACCCGCATTACTTTTGCTTTTTACACGCTAATTTTCATAATAAATTTTCTTAACGCTTCGTTCCAGATGTTTACGTTGGATTGTATCGTTCGCTTTTTGCAAAGATTGCAAGTCATCAGCAGCATCAAAAGCACATTTACTAATTTTTGTAATTTCTAGATTTCAGTATCCTAACTGTAATTTTCCTTATTTTAAGCCTTGTTCGATATTGAACACCTCATAACATTTCTACATGCACCATATTTATCTTTTATAGCTCCTCTTAATTTTCTACCGCATTTTCTTTGGACTTTTCTATATAGCCACACTTTTTGTTCACTCCCCACGTTATAATATATACACTACAAATTTTGACTTCTTAACAGCGTTATCTTTATCTTTTTTAATTGTATTGCCCAAAGAATTACACAATTTGTAAGAAACTATACTTTTGTTTAATTTTCCTTAAGATTTTCTACCTTTTTAGGAATAATAATAGCTATGGACATTTATTATGTTTTTAATTACCAATCAGTTTTTAAATTATTTCAAAATAAAAATTATTACGTGGTTAGTATTTAATCTTTACCCGGGCAAAGTTTATCAAGTATTTATATTTTAACAACATATTTTAACCACTTATTGTATGCTTCTGTAGATGAGTTTGAAGGAAAATTATTAGTAGAACTTGACACCGTGCACTTATA